ATATATATATATATATATATATATATATATATATATATATATATATAGAGAGAGAGAGAGAGAGAGAGAGAGAGAGAGAGAGAGAGAGAGAGAACAATGTTTAGTAGATGCAAAGAGTGAATTACCCAGATGAACATGGATAGATATTTGCTTGCTTGCTTTGTCTACTTATATATACACCCATATATACACCCATACTCCCATTGGATTCTTTCTCAATTTGCAGCCTTCATTTCCTGGCTATAAGTCTCTCCATTTTCCTTGCCTCCTGCCTTAGGCCATTACAATAAAAAAAAAACAATTTTAAAATAAAGAAAAAAGAAAAGGAAAAGCTCCACTATTTTCCTGCTTCACAAGAAGATTAAATGTTCAGTGTCCTATTAAATAAAGCACTGACCTATTAGATTAATGGAGTGGCAAGGCTAGGCAAACAAAGCAAAACTGAGCGAAGCAAAACCACGCTCCAAAATCATAGCCAATGTGTCAATAAAGAAATGCCTATAGAAAGCAACAGTCATGACTGAAAAAGATAGGAGGTTGTCTGTCACTAGCCAAATGCGCTAGCCAACTGGAGTAGAAGCATAGCCTACAACAGAATGAAGCATGGCAGATAGAACACATAGCATCACTTGTCTTGGCAGTAGTGGAAACTGCTACTTGATGAGAAGCAAGCTGGGGAGAGCTTGAGAAAAATGTCTTGCACTCATGACCTCCAGAATCAGAAAGTGGCCAGTAAGATTTATGGGTTAAACCCTCAATGAAATTTATATGCCAATAGTCCTGCATAGGAGTGGAGTACATGTCATACTTAATGACAGCTATGAACAGAATTTAAATCGCAATTACAGAGATAAAGCAAAATTTAAAAATAAAAAGGGATGCAGAAAGAGAAAGGCTTGATTTCATTCAGCTACAAGAAATAATGTAAACAGACTGAACCATAAATAAAATAAATTAGGACTATCTTCTCTATTCAAAGGGATGTGTTAAAGTTGGAATAATGAAACACATATAAGCAATTGAAGTCCAAAGCCTAATTTTGACTAGAGAATGTAATACATCTTCACTTCATATCTCTAAATCAATCTAAAATCCCTGCAAAAGTTCATTTCCTTTTTGTCTGTGTTGCCCACTCTTTCATCTGGTGCAGTAAAGCAAAACAAAAATAAATCATCTTTCTATAAGACACAAGTGTTCTAGATTGCATTCTTCATCAACTATTGCCTGCCTTTCTTTTTTTTATCATTTATCCTGATATGATTAGTATAATTATTTCACTGATGTCATGCATGTGGCTTTTGTCATGCGATGCAAAGTCAGCTATCACTGCTAAACAAATGTACCGTAATTTGTAATATATGCGGAGCTCCAAAGCAAGCGCTAGAGTTATAAATAGTTGCATCAGAGCAGAGACTTTTTAAGTGCTGAAATTGCCTTTGAAAGCGCCACAAATGAATAGGTAAAGTACTGCACAAACCACTGTACAGCGCATTCTCTGAATAAATTCATTTGAAGTTCCGCATCTCTGTTCCCCAATCCAATTTAGAAGCCCAGTTCTCCTCAGTGGACTTATCCAATTACTTGCTGTTCCCTTGGGCTTTAATTTCTATTTAAGCAAAAAAATAAAGAGATGACTTCACCACAGCTATGTGCACAAAAGTTCAAAGCTGGAACTGTATTAGGTGTCAAAATTTAGGAGGGTATTTAATTTGTAACGGAGCTGCAACAAAAGCCACAACTACATGCAAAATAAAAATTAGTTACACTTTTAGATAGCTTCCCAAACTGTAACTAGGACATTCACAAAATCCAGTTTAACTTGTCTGATCAACTATACTAGTTGGATCAACATTACTCTTTGTTCAAGATTAAAAACTCTAAAGTAGATTGTATCTTAATTTATAGGTATGCACTGAAATAATTTATTCAGCTCTCTACTTTTTAATATTTTTTCTAGCAACCACTACATGAATAAACAGTTAAAAATAAAATAATGTACACCAGACTGCACTCCAATGGTTACTTACTAATGAATAAACTCTGCTGAAACCACGAGGATTAAGCCATTCTGTAAATTAAATTGTTTATTTTAATGGGAACAAATTTTGAAAAAAAAATTCAGGGGATCTTTGATGATACGAATCTGACTAGCAATTGTTTTTTCCTGAAGGAATAATTTACCATATGGTTGAATAGCAATCCAACACTTTTGGAGAAAGGGTAAGTCACAAGAAGGCATTGACTACAGTCTGTGTCCAAATCCTGATTCTCTGTACAACCCAGGAAGGAAAGGGATCGAGTATATTAATGGCAAGGCAGAAATCAAATCTAGAATCATAAAAGACTATTTGTAACTTGATCCTAAATTTGTGAGATAAACTAATATGAATGAAATCTGATGAGGGACCACTTGGGTGGGAAGGTAACAGCATTCCGTGCACCTTCGGCATTTAGTGGCCACATGACCACAGAGACATCTTTGGGCAATGCTGGCTCTTCAGCTTTGTAACGGAGATGAGCGCTGCCCCCTAGAGCTCGAAACGACTAGCATGTATGTGCGAAGGGAACCTTTACCTTTACCTTATTAGCAAGCAAAATTGTGGGTTCATCATCCTGTTAAATTTCTTTAAAATAAAGATTTAAAAAACAAACAAATAGAAACTACAGTTCTCAATGCCATTCATGCCATGGACTTTCTGATTCTGAACTGAAGAGGAGACCTAATAGACTCACTGGTATGAAGTCAATAAACTGTTAGACACCTGAACATAATGCCCCAGACCCCATAGAGTTAGCTACCAATTCAGGGAATAAAGAGTCAGGTCTTGAATTTGGGAGTACTTAAAATGAACTATCAACTAAAAAGACTTAGTAATAGAAACCAGCATGGCTCCTTGACAGGAAACAGTGCCAAATACTCTAATTAGGAAAGGCATCATACTATTTAAAAATATATCTTATGTTCTGTCTTTTTGTTGGAAACAATTCTCCATATGTGTTTCTATTTCATTCCTAATTTTTCTCCAGGAGTTGATGGCTCCAATTAATCCCATGGTCAAAAGCAACAAGGTGCTCACAAAAATTCATCATTTGCTTTGAAGTAAAAGACAGTCCTAATGTTTAGCAAGGTGATGTTGTGAAGACTTTCATGTCAGGCATCAATTTATGTGCTACTTGAGATGACCCTGGCTTAAAAATATTTGTTACATGATGCTATAAAATTTTTCTAACTTTATGCTTTAATCATTGCTGAAAAATACAATACATTTAGAAAAACTTCCATGAATAAACTTCCATGGGTCATAGAATAAATAAATATAAAAGTTTGGTTTCATTTCATTGATAAATATACAAATATAAGAATAGTTTATAATAGCATTTAAACTAAGAGCCTCAGTGGCACAGTGGTTAGAGTGCAGTACTGCAAGCTACTTATGCTGCAACCAACTGCCTGTAATTTGGCAGATCAAATCTCACCAGGGTCAAGGTTGACTCAGCCTTTCATCCTTCCGAGGTGGGTAAAATGAGGACCCTGATTGTTGGGGGCAATATGCTGACTCTGTAAACTGCTTAGAGAAGGCTGTAAAGCACTATAAAGTGGTATATAAGTGCTATTGCTATTTAAAAACCTTGGAAGTATATATTAATGGGGAAAATGTAACAAATCAGTCAGAACAATGTTTCCACCATCCAACAACAATGTGAAAACACGGTGCTTTAGTGAGTCCTTACTCTTATGGGTGAGAGTAATGGTGATACTTGGTGAAATAACTTTCAGCAACATTTTTATTTATTTATTTATATTTCATACATCTTAACTGCCCATCTCCCATAGAGAGGGACTCTGGATGATGTTATCACAGAGGATAGCCCAGAATTCTGCATACAATTGTACAGGCAGCTATCTGATGTGCTTATTGAAATAGCCTGGAAAGGATGTGCCAAAAGCAGAGTCTGTTCGTCTGTATGCTGAATGACTTTTAATTTCAACAGAAGATGGATTATATGTGTATATCTTGGCCTACTAGGCAGTTCCATAGCTATTTCCAGATGCTCATACAAAAAGATCTATTGTTTTCATCATGTCAATGCAAAGCTCCAGATCCAATATAGTTAACAAAAGTATGATATGACTAGAATGCTCTAATTTTAATATCTACATATACATTTGGTTTTATAAAAAAGATTTATAAAAGATTATAAGAATTTTAGACCAATTGAGAAAGAATGAGATTTTTTTTTCTTAGCTACTATGCAAGGTACTATGGCGGAAAGGTTTATTGTATTTATTATTTTATTTTGCTTTGTTTTGTTATAGTTATTAAATTTTTATGCCCATCCCCTCTATCAGGTGACTCTGGGTGGCTTAGATGGTAGATATGTTAAAACTTGATCCTAAATGTCTGAGATACAATAATATGAATGAAATCTGAGGAACAAGTGTTAAAATTTTCCCACCCATTGCCTATGAGCAAGAAACTATGGGTTCATCATCCTGTTATTTCATAGGCATTTCTCATGCAAAAAATACTATTGTATTGGCAATGCAAGTCATGAAAGTCAGGTAACTGTTTAGGTAAGTTTCTCCCTTAACATGATTTTTCCACTCCCACCTATAGAAAATGGGGAACCATATAGCAGAAAGACAAAACTCACATAGAAAATGTAAAAAAACAAACAAACCCCAAACCCCGATACTGCTTAACGTGTCCTTAAACTTTAAGGACTCATTACTTGAATTTGAATCAGGCCCACATGTTGATTTAACAAATGTGATTACTCTACGTAGTTAGAATGGCAAATTTTTAATTATAATTCTATTAGGAAGGTCAATAGATTATCCTTAATCACTTACGTTGATGTCTTCTAAATCTAAACTCTTCAGAGCGACATTGTTCCGCTTCCAGATGATTGGAGGTCTCAAGGTGCCCTGAATGGCACAAATTAGAACTGCACTTTGTCCAACTATCGCAGCCGTAATGCTTACTTTTTGGTCTTCTGGCAGGGTCAGTTGTATTACTTCTGTAAAAGATATGTTGCATTTAATGCCAATTTGCACATAGAAGGTCTACACCTAAAGCAATATCCAGTGTGTAGCTCTATCTCACCTTATGTTTAGTTAAGCACCACATCTGGGTTGTAAAAATAACTAATGGCAGCAAGATAATAAAAACAAATAGCATGTAGCAAATAGCCTTCTAGCAGCTGAATGTTTTTTTTTCTGGAATCCAGAATTTTATCCCTAGCTTAGTCCCAAGATGCAAGAGAAGCTTAAAGAGAAAATGATAATTTAGGATAAAAATTACAGAGATGTAAGGTCCTAGAGATTTGTACTCCTGTGACTTTTGTACACTTTCTGATTACACTCACTTATTTCCACAAGAAAGGCAGACCTATGGACAACAAATTGGCTGCAATCCACAAGAATACATTGAGCTCTAAAACTATCAACATTACGCTATACTTATTTCTGTAATCTAATGCTTTTATTTTGTTAATGTTTGAAGGGGTAAAATATACTCAAACCAAAAGCTCCAAAATCAGCCTCCTTAATAGCTTGCTTAGGCATTTGCAGAAGCTAGCTCACAACTGATCTTAAATCAGAACTTGTAACTTCTATTTTATCAGTATAACCCAGAAATTTTAACCCATATTATGATTTAACAATATTGCTAATCAGCATTTATTATACTAATGCCCGCTTTTACCATCTTTCCTTGGGTAGAACCTTGTGGTTTGTCCCCAGCACTGTTCAAGTATGGACTGTATAGTCTTCGTTTGTATATTGTGTCATGGGGAATTTTTTTAAATCTATTTTATCACAAGATATTTTGAAATCAATGTTAAACGAAACTCTACGAAGAATGGAGATTGTCACAGAAATTATAATTACAATGAAAATGTGTTCAATTTTTAGCTATTTTAGAATTTAAGCAATGCATATAATCTCTCACCCAACCTTTTAATTTGTAGTGATTGTTTCATCCACATTCTTGATATTATTTCCACATTGATTTCTTCATGTTTTACTACTTTCCCCTCATTGATAATAATGCTGGGACTTTTGTCTTGACCAAGCTCCATTATGGAAGCGTTGAGTGTTGAGTGGTGGTTCTACTGAGTTGTCTCAAATATATATGGGAAATGCATGCTCACAAGCATATCGTTATTATTACTATTACTGTTATATAACAATAAAATGCACTAATGATTATTCAGTATTAAAAACTATATATGTTTTCTTTTTATGACCCTTAAATCTCTTTTTATCGGGGTGGTGTTCACATGACTGAATGGAGCTGAGCATTACTGACCAGATGTCCTTCCTGGTGCCTACAGTTTGCAACAGATATTTTCTCTTTGCATCTCTGTTAGAGAAACATCTGTCACTGCCTAGGATTGAACTTTTAACCTTCCAAGTAGGAGGCCAGCATCTTCCCCTCCAGGCCACTGTGCCGCTATTAAAAACTACATGAAGCTTTAAAAATTATCTACCTCTGGACGTTTAAACTGATACCTGAATACACACACACAAAACAAATATCCATATAGGAATGAATACATTCCTTAAAATCAAGAAAGTCAGTTTCTATCTGTTTACATGATATCAGGCTTGTTAAAGCCAACATCCTTTACAATGTTTAATAAATTATCAGGAAATTCGTACATCTCTGTCATAAGACTGCTGTATAGGATCTACAATAAATATACATGCACAGTAACATGAATTCCTCAAGGTTGCAGGAAAAAACAGCATGAAAGTTTTAGGGTTGCTTCAGTTAACAATTTGCTGAAAAAAATATAAATGCAATATGGAATATGTGTTTTGGAAAAGACAAAACGAGAACAAAAGCGATTATAACAATTTTTTTCTACATATTGCATTTCAATTATTAAACTATTAAAAGAAGAATATATTTTACAGATATATAATGACTTAAATTTAAAATTGTACATTTTTTTCTATCCTATTCAGCTCACTTATTTATTCACCTTTTTTCAATACCCCTTTGTGTCTCAACTGGCAAACATTATCCAGATTGAAGCTGACTAAATAGAATTAAGACTACATTAAGCCTGAATGCATTTAGTTTGCCAATTTAGAATGTAATTTAAAAGCTATCACCTCCTCCAATGATATAGAAACAGTCCTTTGCATATAATCTACAGCAAGGTTCAAACATTTAATGAAAGACCTGAAATAATCATAACAATAAACCCATAGAGTATTGTGATAGGATAGCTGTTATTTTTCATTCTGTAGTTTTAGTATCATTTTCTATATTGTGAGAAAGGTAATTATTATATGTGATCTGTCTTCTCTTTTATTGCTCCCTTTTAGTCCACATTTTGTTCAATTGAAATTTAACACTTTTAAACATATGTAATATAAAACAATGAGTGGAACCCAAACCCAGATCAGGTAATTTAGAAAAGAAAATAACCTGTCTTAAAATGTAATTTTAAAACGGCAATTCAGAATAATGCTATATTTGGAACAAAAACAGGTTTGAAAATATTACCTGCATGCCTATCCTAGATATTGCTGGTCTTTCAAAATGTGAGCTTTACTATAATACAGCTAGTTTGGAATCTTGTGACCAATTCTGAAGTACCGGTAGCGGAAATTTTGAGTAGTTTGGATCTTTCCCTTGCCATGCCCACCAAGCCACGCCCACAGAACTGGTAGTAAAAAAAAAATTGGATCCCACCACTGATCAACATAATATTAAGCAAGCATGGGGATTCAAAAGTATAACTATAGTTTATCTATAGTATCTGTGTGCAAATGTCTGTAATGTAAAGAAGAAAATATACAAAACAAGACGTCTTAAAAAATCAATGGATCAATAAATCTTATTATACATTGGGCTTAAAATGGAAACAAAAGCAAAACTAACATTCATGTTTCTTTCAGTCAGCTAGTTTAAGAGGGCTGATAAAAATATACTTTTTTATTTAAGGACAAAACAGAATAAAACCACAAAGAATCCATTGTGCTCCTTCCCAGATCAGGAAGTTTTCTAGGTAGTGATGGCCTCTTCATCTTTTGGTCAACTATTGCAATGTGCTTTACACAGACTGCCACTGAAACATCCTCAACTGGTCCAAACTACAGTGCTCTAACCATGATCTAACCAGTGCTTTGGTATACCACATAATACTGTTACTTTATGAGTTGCATTGATTTCCAGTAAACTTCCAAATGAGATCCAATGTGCTGATTATTTATTATAAAGCCCTCATAGTACAGGACCCAAATGCCATAGAACTACCTGTCTACAATTGATTCTTCTTGGCTAGTAAAAGCCAACAGAGATATAGGTACTGTTTCCCTTTGATCAAACAGTATCATCTTTTGATACCCAGAAAGCAAGCGGTCATAGCACCTGCCTTTAGAAATGAGATATCCCCTTATAGACCATTTGGTTTCCATTCTATTGGCATTCTAGAAGGACTAAAAACCTAGCTATTTTCTAAAGCACTGGGACGGTGGATTTTAAATATATTTATCATATACCTTTATGTTCTGATATAATCTGGAATTGCTATTTTATTTTGATTATTGTATTTCTACTAATTTTATTCTACATGTGTTGCTTTTACTTCCCAGAGTCAGCAAGGAGTTGGTGGCATTGAAGTCAAAGCAAACAAATCTTGTTTGAATGAATTACTATATACATAATTATAACTCTAACTTTCAGTGCTCCAAGGAAGAAACTTTAGTTGGTAGATATTCAAAACAGTACTATGGCATTAACATTGATTACAGAAAAGGAAGATTGTTCACACTTTTCTTTTTTTTTTATATTCTCTTAATGCTCTTCCACTGTGTATAGCTAACTTTTTATAACTGTTTATAACCGCCCTTAGAAAAGTATTAGCAATACAGTATATAAGAACCACAAATTTTTATTCCTCCTTAAATGCTTCCCCTTCCCCCCATTATTGAAAATATCATTTTATAAGGCAGAGACCTTGAACACCAAAGATTACATTTCAAAATGTAATTCCCCAGTAGCGATAAGTGACTTACAAGAAACAGTAATACGAAACCATCCAAGATAAATCAGTATTTGTTAATAGATAAGCAATCCCATGAATCCAAAACCTACTTCTGCTTTCTCAAACAGGAAAAAAAAGACAGTCTAAGCTTAACAGCAAATAATGAAAACAAGTCCAGTGGGAAAAAAAAGATGCATAAACTTGTGTCCTGCTGTTTCTGGATATATGGGGTTGGGTAGATTCATTCTTATTCTATTTGATGGGAATTACTTCCCCAAAGTATTTTTTTTTCAATCGAGAATAAAAAATTTGTGAAATTATCAGTGAATGGATGCACTGTTATTGCACTTACTTCACTTATAAAGATGACTAAGGAGTGTATGGGAGCTTTCTTTTCCTGAAGGAGCCTCCCTCTCTCTTTAATGATATGCAGCTTCCCAGCCCTCAATTCAATCCCCAAAGGAAGATATTATAACTTTGGGCCTTTTGAAATAAAAAAATACGGAAGCCTGCAGAGTAATGGAGATGGGAAAAGAAGACAAGAAAAGCAGCACTTTAGATGTATTGCTAAAAAGATGCTTTGAAGAAGGTATGTACAAGCTGCCATGTTGACACCTCTTCCAAAAATCAATCAATCAATTAAACCCTCAATCTATTTGACAGCCAGAGAATCCTCAGAAAATATGCACTGGAATTACCAGCTTTGGATTCGAAGCACCATTTTAGCTTTGGATTCAAAGTACTTCACATTCCTATATTTGAAAAATGACACTTTCCACACAAGGAAATACAGCTTCAGAAAACTGAAGGCCAGACATTGGCATGATAATAATACACAAGTATTGTAGAGTTCTTGATATTCCACAGTTCAAACTACACATTCTCTTCTATTAGATATAAATGTCTTTGTACATATAGCCACTTTATCTGACCACCATTAATTATAAAGTTGACTCTTATAAAATGACATAATACATAAAAACTACATTAACCTTAAAGAAAAAAGAGGATCCTGA